ACTGATGTCATATTTTGGTGTAGGGGCTCTCAAGGAAGCAGGAACTCACCTCTTCAGCTACACTGTCTGGCCAGCAAGCCGCGGGGCTCCTGTTATCCCCATCTTCCCTGCGTTAAAATTCTAGGTGTGTGCTTCTACACGAGCTTTTTACACGGGCAAAGAGTCTCTAACTCCAGTCTGCAGTTGTGTGGCAAGCACTTTACCTCCGAGCCGTCTCCTCAGTCCAAGCTATGCTGTTTGTAAACCAAATGCGAGTGACCACAGCCCAGGGGCTCAGAGGTTTCTCAAATGCCATGCTTCCGGGTCGAAATGTTTTCATGAGGTTTTTATAGTTATGCTACCAAGGAAAGTTATAAAGAAGGGGTTTTCCAAATTCGTGGGTGGGAACATCAGGTGGATGGGTCGCAGCACAGCCGGGCAATCTCTGTCATAGGTCTCAGACACCGCTTGATGACATCCTTAGCTTCCAGGTGGGTAGAAGTCAGTGGTTTGTTAGTACATTCTGAAGGTGTTTCCTTGCTGCTGTTCTTTAGATGTGTTTGTGTGTTTGATTGGCTTTGGTTTTCTTGGTCTGGTAGCTGCAAAGGCATTAAGTCAGAGTTGGGCTATGAATGGGTAGCACTAAAGATGAATTGAGATAAAGGGGCTCTGAATCTGTAACATTCCTACAAGGCTACATAGTGATAAAGTTCTAATCAGCCAATCAGCCTTGCAAGTTAACGTGGGTGTGGCTTATTTTACTTGCTTCCTGGATGATGCAACAGGAATTCTGTGGATACAGGAGACGATGACCCACTTGTCACATGCTTCGCAATTCCACAGTCTGTTGCCGTCACAGACCTCATTTCAGTCTCGCTCAGCCCTCCTTGGGTTGGTAGACATCAGCCTGGCTGTCTAGCACGATTGCAGGAGAGCCTTCCAGCTCACCTCTGCTTTAGACGAGGAGGTGAAGACTTCGCTTCCCCCTGAGGAAATGTGTCCCGAGTCTCACAGAGCTCGCGCGGGGTTCTGCGCTTCACTGGCTGAAGCCTCCTGGTGTTCTGAGTCTCACAGAGCGCGGTTCTGCACTTCGCTGGCTGAAGCCTCCTTGTGTAGTCACATTTAGCTTGAAGGAAGGATTGAGACACAGATTTTTATCTGTACAACAGCATGTCTAATTGTCCTCAAAAGAAAAAAGAAGATGACTCTTGGGAGGGTACTAGACACTTCGGTCACATTTTCTAGGCGTGAGTTATAGACGGCTGCGATGTGATCGTAATCAGGTATTTCTAATTTGGCACCTGAAGGCTGAAGGGTGTTCAGCCCTTAAAGGCTGTTCTTAGCAGGGTAAGTGTAGATGACCGCACTTCTGCAGTCAGGAACACTGCTGGCTACAATCCACCTGCCTCACTCAACATGGGGATAAGAGGAGGACCCGCCTCACCAAACTCCCAGAACTCAAAGGATCCATACGAAGGCAGTGTAGCCGTTATTTCCAAGCCTGATGAAACCACACACAAAAAAGGAAGTTATATAACTGACCTTTCGTGCATATAAAAAACCCTCAACAATGTACTATTGTTCACTGAGGGAGGAGAAAAAGACGTCTAACCATTTATTATCCTCGTGTCTATTTGTATTTGTTTGTGGTTGCACACACGTGTGCAGAGGCTGAAGGTCGATGATAGATGTCATCCTTGGTCACTCTCCAAGGCTACAGCACTAGTGATACATGCGTGTTTCATGAAATTTCTAGGTGGGACCTGGGGTTCCGAACCCGGGCCCTTGTGTGCATATAGTAGGCATTTTGACAACTGAGCTATTTCCTTCACCTGAGAAATAGGTTCTGAGAAAAGCATTTGGCAAAAGGAAATGCAAATTTATCCTTGAGAAAAATGGACAGCTTTGGGATTTAGGTGATGACGTGCCCACCCATGCTTAGGAACAGTCGCAAGTGTCCACTCTGGGACAGAAAACTGATGGAGAGGAGGCTGTGTGTGTGTTTCCTACATAGTCCCCACTATTTTTCCTGTAAACCTAAAATTGCCGTTCATGTCAAAGGTAACCCAAAAATATTTAAATAGTTAAGATGAAGCTTTTTTTTTTTTTTTTACAGGGTTTCTCTATGTAGCTTTGGAACCTGTCCTGAAACTCACTCTGTAGACCAAGGTGGCCTCGAACTCACAGAGATCCACCTGCTTCTGTCTCCTGAGTGCTGGGACTAAAGGTGTTTGCCACCACCACCTGGCTAAAATAATACTTTTAAGTTCTTTATTTTTTATAGCAATAAAGTAATACTTACCAAAGTAAAACAATAGAAAATTTCCTTAACCTGTTAAAGTATATTTTAAAATCCATAGCAAAGATCATATTTAATAGCAGTGTATTCCTTGAAGTAAGAAATAAGTCAGTGGCTGAAGAGATGGCTCAGTGATTAAACTTCCAGAGGCCCTGATTTCAATTACCAACAACCACATGGTGGATTGTAATGGAATCCGATGCCCTCTTCAGGTGTGCAGACAGACAAGCAGACAGAACACCCATACACATAAATAAAGAAATCTTTGGGACTGGAGAGATGACTCAGAAGTTAAGAGCACTCGCTGCTCTTCCAGAGGACCTGGGTTAAATTCCCGGCCCCACATGGCAGTTCAAAACTGTAACTCCAGTTTCAGGATTTCTGACACCCTCATAAGATGTAAAATACCAATGCACATGAAATAAAAAATAGTAAAGAAATAGATAAATAGTGCTCACTGTCCTCCTTCCTATTTAATTTACACTGACCGAAGAAATAATTAAGCAAAAGGTCAACAGGAATACAGAAAGCTGTCATTCTTTAAAATGACATCATGGATAATTTGAAAGCCCAAAAGAATCAGCACACTATTTATTAATTAGCAAAGTTGGCTGGATGCAGGATCAGCGTAAAACCTTAATTCTTTTCTGTAAGCCAGGAGTAAAGAGAAAGTGAAGTATGGACAGATGATATTGACTCTAAGATGAAATCAGACTTAGAGATCTAACAAAATCTGCAGGAGGGCTCTACACTGCAAACGTTAGGAAGCTAACGCAATCTGCACAAGGGCTCTACACTGCAAACTTTAGGGATCTAACGCAATCTGCACAAGGGCTCTACACTGCAAACTGCAAATGCTGCTGATGTTAGAGAAGGCCTGAGTAGAGAGCTACAGCGCTCACGGATTAGAGCATGCGTGGTTGTGAAATTATCAACTCTCCCCATAAAGTAATCCAGAGACTAACTCTCTCCAGACAGCAAGCTAGCAAACTCCTTCCCTCCCTCATTCGTTCCTCCTGACACACAGACAGACAGACAGACACACACACACACACACACACTTCCTTCATCCCTCAGCCCATTTTTCTTACTCGTTTCACATATTGACAAGCAGCTATCCAATCAGTAGGAAGCACAAACAGCCAAGAATAAACAGTCTTAGAAAAGAGGTCAAAGCTGGGAGGCAGCTGCCTTGAACTGTGGGGCAGCACAGATGGCGTAAGCACTGGGCAAATCACCATGAACCAAAGTGACCACGCAGAGTCTGGCAGCAAAACCACACACCATCCACACAGGTGACACAGTGTGCGTAGGAAGGAGACCTAGTCAACAAACAGGGCTGGCTCAGCTCTTGTCCTCCCTCTCACACCATGGACGAAAGTCCTTCCTGAAGAACTGGAGATTCCCACGTGAAAGATAAAAATAGAAAGCCGTCAGAGGAGGTGTGGAAGACCGCGCTGTGATGGCGGGGCGGCCGTTTCTAAGACCAGCGAAATCTGTACCTCTCTCATTACCGCTGAGGCTGGAACCCAGGCACCTCTTAAAATGCTGAGTCAGCTTCGTGTCTGCTGGGATCAACCTTGTACTTCCTCCAGCGACATCTCGGCTTGGAAGGGGTTTTTCAGAATAAGCAATCTAAGAACAGAGTGTATGTGCTAAGCTGGTAACTACATGTACATGCTGATTGCGGAGTACAAACGTGTCTTTATGATACAGAACAGACGAGCCGCAAGTGTCCCGCTGCTAGGCCACAAGTGCGGTGGTGATGCAGCTCTCCATCAAGCTCGACCAGTTTGAGAATGGCACCCATGTTGTTAGCTACTGTGCCTTCACTAAAGCAGCAGTTTTTCGGCTACTGAAGAACTTTGGGGGGAGGGGGCCATTATCTGTTAGGAACACTCCAAGGTCCTGAGATTAAATGGCCTCTCTGCATTCATTTTCCCATGTGTTCGTCACGAAGAAGTCAAGATGATTTTATTGTTTGATTTAATTGTGTGTGTGTGTGTGTGTGTGTGTGTATTTAATGCTGGGAGTGAATCAGGAGCCTTTGCAGCCTTTGCGTGGTAGATAAGTTTTTTTTTTTTAACTGAGCCCCAGATGAATTTAAATTGTAAATTAGGCTCAATCACACTAGGCTTTTAAACATTCCAGGCAGGAGTAAGCCTCACTTGGGCCAAGGCTCTTAACTGGTTATGTAACACAAAATAGTCAGTCCTGGGTCATATGCACACAAGTCTCACTAAATGAACCCATCATTTAGTGATGTATTGGTATATTTATGCATTTATATACATGTAAGGTTGCTGATAAAGTTCAGAGTGTGTTAAAAAAAAAAAAACAACTTCCCAGTAGCATACATAGCAATGCCCAGCCTATACTGTGCATGGGTTTCGGGGGCAGGACGTCAGGGCGAGTTCCTCACTCAGACAAGAGAATACTTGAGCACCATGGCCAAGGAAAGGCAAGAGTCTAAGGCAGAAAAGTTGCCAGGAGAGGGAAGTGTGAGGAATGTCGGGTGCAAAGGGGACTTCTGTGTTATGGGAGCCAAGCAAGAGCAGAGACTGTTAAGTGAAGACCATACATATCGCCCTCCTTTCGGGCGCCTGCCTCATCGGCACAGTTCACCAGGACTCCGGGTTGGCGAGACACGCCGCGCGCTGTAGGTAGCCGGTGCTCCCTACATGAGGCTCACACAGCTGTAAACAGAGCCGTCTTCTTTCAGGTCTCCCCGGCTCTGCTGCCCCGCCGCTCCTTGCACCCTTTCGCCATGTTGACAGCACCCGACGCAGCAGCAGCCGAGTGCAACCGCAGACAGAGTAAGTCGGCTCCCTTCTGGCTGTGGAGGAAGTTAACTAGGAGGCGGGCCTGCCAAGTGAGGCCAAATGAGAACACGGATAGATTTCTGTCTGGTGAGAGTTTCAAACACCAGGATCCTCCATAACTTGATGTTCCCCTCCCCGACATCACCCCAAACTGGAAAGTTTACTTCTTAGACTTTTGTTGAGGGCGGCAGTGCAGCCCAGAAAGGCAAGGTCTAACACAACGGTGGACACATTCTTCTAAAGTTTTATACTCTGATGTGGTTATTCTCCATGTCTGCAGGTGTCAAGCTGAGGAGAGGGGCAATACCAAAAAATGCCTCCAGCGGCTCTACCAAGAAAGCAATGGTTCAGAATGGAAATCCTGGAAAAGATGCTCATATGCACAGCTCAAGAACAAGGTACATCTGAACACGGATGCTGCAGATGACGTTGGCTATCGTGGTGAACGTTTAGTATTTGGAGTTCAAGGTTCTGGATGTGAATACAGAGCCCATTGTTTATATACTGTATGGTTTTGAACAAGCTAAGCAACTATTCTGTACCTTAGGTTCCTCCTTCCAAAAAAAAAAAAAATGAGAATAGTAACTCACTGATTAATTGGGATTCTGGATGAATGGTGAGAATGGTACTCGGTACCGTGGTGAAGCCTAAATAAATAATAGCCATGACTAGCTTTCAACTCTTGAAAAATCACTCTTCACAAGCAAAGCAGCTCTTTCCCAGTTTCTTCAGACAGGGTGGCTGATTTTAGTACCTATGTACAGTGTTCCAGATGAGGATTCAGTCACAAAGGAGAACTTCATGGCATCTCCCAACTCCTGCCTTTTTTTTTTTCCCCACCCACCCAGTTCTCAGCTGCTATGTAGAAGAATGTAGAGACTAGTCAGAGGTAGACAGGGCTGAGGGAAAGCAGAAAGATTCTGCTGCAGTTGTCATTGTTGCTATAGTTACCACAGCTCGGGGCTCTCAACCGTAGTGTATAAGGTGAAAATAAATTAAACAGAAGTCAGAAAGACCAGTGTGGTCAGTGTGCCTGTCTTAGGCTTTCTATTGTCGAGAAGAGACACCATGACCATGCCAGCACTTACAAAGGAAACGTAATTGTGGTGGCTCCTTACAATTCAGAGGCTCAGTCCGCCGTGGAAGGGAGCATGGCGGCATGCAGGCAGATGTGGCGCTGGAGCGGAGACTGCTACACATCTTGGCGCAGAGGTGACAGGAAGTCGACCGACTGTCACACTGAGTGAAGCTTGAGAGAAAGACCTCAAAGCCCCTCACCACACACACACACACACACACACACACACACACACACACACAGCGACACACTTCCAGCAGAAGGTGTGGCCCAGATTAAAGGTTTACTTTACAGCCTCAAGGTCTGTCCAAGAACTTGCTCTGTAGACCAGACTGGTCTTGAAATCACAAAGATCCCCACCCCGACTCTGCCTCTCAAGAGCTGGGTTTAAAGGTGTACACCACCACTGACCAGCTTTTTTTTTTTGAGGAATATTTTTATTTTAAATATTTGGGACTCATCATTTTCCCTTATGACTTATAGATACAATGTCATATCTTTGAGATGACAAAAAAGACCCTCTTTTTAAACCTTTAAGCATTAAAACAATTCTTTCTTCATAATTTTATTTTCATTTCCAGCCACTGAGTCTCTTCATAAACTAAGAGAAAGGCAGAAACTGTTTTCAAAACTCCCAGTTATTCTGGGAAAGTTTCAAGGATTTCGTGTTATTGCACTGGTGGCTCATTTGAATCAAAATGGATACGAGCAGCATTCCCTGGAAAAGCTAGCCCCTCTGTGCTTTGCTTTCTTTCCTATAAAAGAGAGAGTATTATGAACCTCACTGGGTTGTTTTGAGCACTGAATGAGCCAATGTACATATAAATGCTCAGAGTCACTAAGACCATACCAAGCAGAGAGGCACCTGTTCCTTCTCTTCCCGTTCCCAGAGAACCCATGGCATTGCGGAAGGAAGCCAGATAGAGGGAGGAGAATTTAGGCTTAAATCCAAAGCAATATACACAAAGCCTTAAAATAATATGTTACCAGCACAGTACTAGAAAACTACTGATGTTGGCGAATGCTAATCCAAGGAAGTTTGACTTTCATGATTTTTAATTTTAATTTGGAAACAACTCCAAGTTTAAAGAAATGCTGCCGCGGGACAGCGGACCCAGATAAGCCATCTCGCGTTGCTGTGTGTTCCACCAGCCTTATGCGTTCTCTTTCTTTCTTTGCCCTTCGGTGTTTTGGTTTGTGTATATGGATATTGATAATCTTTTCTGAGCTATTAAAACTTATGCATACCCTATCAACTTAGCCTGCATATTTTACCCTGAAGCTCCTAAAAGCAAAGGCATTCTCTTAAGAAATCAATTATTAACTCCAGAATCTAAAGCATCACTATTTTATCAGTCACCCAAATAGTATTTTTTCAGTTTCCCAAATAACATCCCTTTTTTAAAAAATATTTATTTATTTGTTATGTATACAATATTCTGTCTGTGTGTATGTCTGCAGGCCAGAAGAGGGCACCAGACGTCATTACAGATGGTTGTGAGCCACCATGTGGTTGCCGGGAATAGAATTCAGGACCTTTGGAAGAGCAGGCAATGCTCTTAACCACTGAGCCATCTCTCCAGCCCCAATAACGTCCCTTTTAAGCATCCATTGTGAGATTACATACTGCAGTCAGTTGAGAAATATAATTCATTTTCAGATATTTCAGAATGTCCCATGGAAATTCTTTTAAATCTTTACGGATCTAACTATCTCTGGTACCTGATGTCTGACTTTAACTTCCTATCGACAGAAAGCTATTTTATGTGTCTGTGCTATACTGATGTACTCGATACCAAAACGATCCTCTCATTCTGCAGGTCACCTAGGAATGAGAACTAGTACCGTGATGCATAACAGAGCCTCTGGGAGCAGACCGGAAGCTTCGCCTTAAAGCCACAATCATCTCTGTAGTCAGCCATTGCTGTAAACGGCATTGCCTCTCCAGCATGCCCTTAGCCTTCTTCTCTTGGAAGCGTATTGCACACCTATATTTTGGCAAAAGGAAAAAAATGTGTATATCCTATGCTATTTCATTTTATGCCTGGAAAACTGCTGGAGAATTTGTAGGGGCTCACTGTTCCTGGATGGGTGGGTTTAGACAATCTGGTTTTGATACACATTTTAGCAAATGTGTCGCATTAAATATTGCACAGAATGCTGGAGAAGGGGGTGGTTTTCCAAAGTGTTAACCCCAAGTAGAATTAATCTCTCTTTAGCGTTCTTCCAAATAGAGAAAATGTAAGCTCATAAGTTTACATTCAATAAAGTTTGCAAAGAGGAATGGATGCTGGATTTCTCTGGTGCTGACCACTAGGGAAAGAAAGTGTGCTACTCTTTGGGCACCCTTCCAAAATGATGACAAGGCACATGGTTTAGCCAGCTCCAATACCAGCTTCATCAGATGAATGGCAACATACGGTACCTCTCCTTCCATAAGGACTGGGCTGGCCAGCCTTCTCCAGAATAGTCCCAGCGCCATAGGCAAAGTCAGGTGAGTTTGTTGGCCTTTTCTGAAAAGAAGTGGTGCCCTCCCCACACGAGGCTGTGGCTGGGGAGGTCAGTGTAGCCTTCTTACATAGTGCTTGGTCACAGCTGTACTTGAGGCTCACCAGGCTGCTTGGAACACAGGACAGATGCAGAGGAAATCAGTGGCTTGTGATCCTTGCCACGACTCCAGCTGCCAGGGACTTGGCCCAGTTTGCTTCTGTGCAGCTTGTTGGCCGTGAGAAGACACTTCTTGCTGTCTGTGCTCCCACCATCCGGACATGTCAGTGAGCGATGGCTGAGGATTTTCATGCAAACGCTGGGTCTGCATTGCTAACTCTAGTTGGGTGTCCTTTGAGAGTTCCCTCACGGGCACGAAGCAAAATTATGTGTGACTTCACTTCTTACATATACATAGGATGAAATAACAGAAGATAATTCAAAATATGATGATCCTCCATTCCTGCTCAGCGGGCAACAAGAAGGAAGTTCTGATGGCGGCCATCCTGGCTCAGGAAAACTGACAGTTTGGTGAGGGAAAATGCAGACAAACCATAGCACTGGTTTTAAGAAAAAAACATAACCCTAGAAAAAAGGTGGTGGCAAGAAGAAAGGAAAGTCCTGTGCCTTTCTTTCCTGATGAGAATGCCTTGGGTTTTGGCTGATCTACTAGTTTTAGACCAAGAAATGTTTAGTCTCATGTGTGTATATATATATACATATATGCTTTTAACTCTCAACTCAAAAATCACACATTTAAAAATTAATTTTACTACTTTCACCCACTGAATTTGCAATATATATTTATAATAGAAAATTAAGAAAATTTTAAATTCAAAAGGAAGAAACAATATGAAGACCTACATATAAACTTATCATTCCTTATGGCCACAGTTGATTTTTAGTCTCTACACAGTTCTAATCTCTTTATCTTAAACATGTGCAACTTTAAAAATTCAATCTGTGTTATACAGATAAAGACACGCAGCTGTTTTCTAGTTAGAGGATTTTGGTTTGTTTTTCTGCTAACTCTTGGTGCCTCAGAGTGCTTCTGAAACTCATATGATTCACATAAGTACAGATGGAGCCCAGCCTCCACCTCAGCACTTTCTATAGGCAAACACTGCGAACTGCTGGGTCCGTAAAGTATCTCTAGAGAGCCGCATAGGATGCGATGCGCGCCCTTTGTCTCCAAGGTCATAATGGCTCTGCTGACTTTAATTCCTTTCACTGGAGTTAGGGTGGACAACTCGAAAATGCCAGAGAGAATGTGAGCCCCCACCCCATGATCCCAAATGAAAAAGCAGGAGAACACAGAACTCCCCTCACGCGTCACCCCCGGGCGGCCCCCTTTTGTGTTGTTCTTGCCAACGCAGCAGACATCCTGCTGTATATATATCAGCTGCCACTCCTGTCCCCATCACACTCAACACTGGTCATTTGCTGTCAACGACGATGGGAAAGGTGAGCCAGGAAGGAACCTCCAGGTTTGCGTTGTTTTCCCACGTCAGGGACGTGCCTTCCAGTTGACCATGTTCACCTGTCTTCCCTTTACAGATCACCTTCTACGAGGACCGCGGCTTCCAGGGCCGCTGCTACGAGTGCAGCACCGACTGCCCCAACCTGCAGACCTACTTCAGCCGCTGCAACTCCATCCGAGTGGACAGTGGCTGCTGGATGCTCTATGAGCGCCCCAACTACCAGGGCCACCAGTACTTCCTGAGGCGCGGGGACTACCCTGACTACCAGCAGTGGATGGGCCTCAGCGACTCAGTCCGCTCCTGCCGCCTCATCCCCCATGTGAGTCCTGTTTGACTTCCTTTCTTTATTTCTTGCTTCCCAAGGGTCCTCACGGTTTTACTGATGTGGGGTCCAGAAAGTTTATTTTTCTGTAAAAGTACCTAAGGGTTAAGTGGGCTTTAAGTTCCTGCCTACATTCACAGGGACACAGGCAGGAAGACAGAATTGTAAGAAAGAATCTATGCAGAGAAAAAAAAAAATCTACTTTATCATTGTTACCATTAGGTTAATCAAAAGTTGTCTCAATGAATGCAGTCTTATGCTGGAATATAAAACAAAATTTGTAAATGGGAAGCTGGTTGGTCAGATTGATCTTTATCTATAAAAGAATTTCTGATAAGAGAGTTAATTACACTTTACTGGGGAAAACATGGAAAAGTCCGGTGATCAAACACCGTGTAAAGGCAGAAACCAATTTTGGAATTTCCATAGTTTTGAAAGTCAGCTAAATCCTCGGTTAAGTGGCTATGTAAATTAACTCACCACAGAGGACTTTGATTTTTCTGAACTCTACTTTAGCCAGGCACAGGGATAACCTGTAATCCTAGCATCCAGGAAGCAAGGTTGAAGGATATTGAGTTTGAAGGCAGTCTAGGGAATTACAGAATAGGGGAAATGGGACTTTTGGGAACAAAGTAAGTTGTACTAATGTATGAAATTCTCAAAAACCAAAAAATGAAGTAAAAAAAATCCTATTTTAATGATGGACACACACACATATATAAACATATACATAAACATATGTAAAACTAAAAAACTACTAATCAATATATATTATTTATATTTCCTCCAACATACAGCTTAGAACAAACACGGGGAATTAGAAATTAAGATATTTGAATTTTTGGCTCAAATCTGGATTCAATATCTTAAAAATTCCACCTCCTAGATGAAAAACAGAAACTGGGTATGTAGGAGCTTGCGATGCCAGCTGGTCTGTCAGTCCATGGCTCTCCTGAATCTCAGAGGCCCCCATTTCACACCAACAGCCTCCGGTCTCAGCCAGCCAATCTGTCCCGCTGTTTGCTTGGGTGAGTTCTGGAAGAGACTCCATGACCTTTCTCTAATCTTTCTGTGTCGTTCCAAGCAGACAGGCTCCCACAGAATGCGGCTGTATGAGAGAGAAGACCACAAAGGCCTCATGATGGAGCTGAATGAAGATTGCGCCTGCATCCAGGACCGCTTCCACCTCAGTGAGGTGCGCTCTCTGCACGTGCTGGAGGGCTGCTGGGTCCTCTACGAGATGCCCAACTACCGGGGCCGGCAGTACCTGCTCAGACCTCAAGAGTACCGGCGCTTCCACGACTGGGGTGCCGTAGATGCTAAGGCAGGCTCTTTGCGGAGGGTGGTGGATTTATACTGAAATAGGTTAACACTACCATCTTCTCATTTTGGAACCTAATAAAGTATTTAGTCTGTATTGTCGGCAAACCCTGACTTCTGCTATTCTTTCATTGTGTGCGAATCCACCCGCCTGTAAATGCTCCCTGTTTAAAGGTTGATGAGAATGGGGAAGTTAAGGTATTCAAAAACTTTTAAATTGTGTAAGTTTAAACATGTCTTAGATGGCTGGGGTGTATATATGCACCTCACTGATAGGGCTTTGTATCTGGTGGGGGAAGGTATACCTGATGATGGGGGAGGGTATACCTGCCTGAGGGNATATATATATATATATATATATATGCTCTTACTTAAGGACATCAATGTTGTTTTAGGACACAAAAACCATAGCATGATCTGTAAAGTTAAACTTGGTTTAATCATCACATACCCTTCACCCGTGAAAGAAAGAAATGTCATTTGCAATAACATGGGTGAACCTAGAGGGCACTGTGCTGGAAGAAATAAGCCAGGCCTGTGATGATAAAGGCCACCTGTTCTCTAAAGCACAGGCTCATGGAGGAGGAGGAGATGGGCTTGGAGATTTAGCTCAGTGGTAGCGTGCTTGCCGAGACGCAGCCCTGAGTTCTGCCCTACTTACTAAGGCTAGCGTGGTAGAGAGTGGGGACCAGAGGTTTGCAGTGATGATCAGAAATGAACAACTCACAGCTAGCGAGAAGAACTGCGTCCTAGAGATCTATTTTATAGCACATCAACGACAGCTCGTGCTATGTATTAGAATCATTAAAAATGCTAAAGCTGAGGCTGGAAAGATGGCCCAGTGGTTAAGAGCCCTGGCTACCCTTCTAGAGGACCTGAGTTCAATTCCCAGCACCTACAGGTGGCTCACAACCGTCTGTAACTCCAGTTCCAGGGAATCCCATGCCTTCTTTTGGTCTCCATGAGCACCAAACACAACTCATGTAGTATTTTACATATCCACAAACAAACACTTATACACATAAAGTAGAAATAAATACATCTTAAATACACAATGAAAACACTGAAAGAATTGATTCTCTGTGTTCTTACCACAAAATGATAATTACGTGGGGTAAATATATATATTTGTTAGGCAGATTTAACCACAGTGCTTACTTTAAAGCACCGTGCTATGCCAAATAAATATACAGACACTGTTTGTCAATTTAAAAATATGTAAGTACATTTGAAAGGCAGTTAATTAAATTTGGTTAGTTCTAGTGTAAGCTGGCTGTATTGGTGAGATTTTTCCTCACTATATACTCTCACACTCACCTAGAACAATGGGTCTCAATTTGTGTGGCTTTATGTTTTGCAGTAGTCGTTGTTGACTAGTTTTTATGAGATAGGTACTTAGAGATTTCATGAGATACAGTCCATATTTCCTCTGTGTGTGTGTGTGTGTGTGTGCATGTGTTTAAAGAAAGAGAAGAATAAAGGTATGAGGACTCAAAACAAATCTGCATCATTGCACACCATGTGTGCAAAAGGTGGCTTCAAAGCAAGCTTGGTAGGATTCTGTTACACGGGCAGTAAATGTGTTCACTCTCTGCCTTTTGGTGTTGGTGTCCTCCGCAAGGCCTCCAGTTCACAGGTCAGGTCAGCTTTATGTTCGTGCATTTCCTAATCCGTTACAAGCAGTAGGATCAGGAGAGAAGCGTGCTTGACACAATTGTATGGAACCGTGTTTGCTGAAGGTGCAAGCAGGCTGCAATAGCAAGCGTATAAATCACTGCTTTTCCCTTTTGTTGGTCATGACAACAGACCAGCTCTCACAGGATACGGCTGTACGAGAGAGATGACTACCGGGGCCTTGTGTCTGAGCTCACGGAAGACTGCTCCTGCATCCACGATCGCTTCCGCCTCAGTGAGATCTACTCTCTGAACGTGCTGGAGGGCTGCTGGGTCCTCTACGAGATGCCCAACTACCGGGGCCGGCAGTACCTGCTGAGACCCGGAGACTACAGGCGCTACCACGACTGGGGCGCCATGGATGCCAGGGTAGGCTCTCTGAGACGGGTCATAGATTTGTACTAAGCCTCGTTTTGCTTGTTACAATCCACACAATGCAATAAATATATAACTGTGTCCACGGCACAAAGTGGCTCTTGTTGATCTTTCATATCTAAATTCTATTAAATGGTATCTTAAGGAACTGAAAATATTGTGAGTGTTCACCTACTTTCTCCCGGTCAGAAAACAGTGCTGGGAAGACCCACACCTGAGTGACCTCTGGGCCTGCAGGAGAGAGAAAAGATGAACACAAGCAACCATTAGAACCCAGAGAAAGGAGAAAATGTAAAGCCTGCCTTTGGCTACACCACCCATGACAAGGGTTGTTAAGGAATGGGGCAGCTGACATCTCACAAAGAAGTACTCAAGAAAAGATGCCCAAGGGGCTGGGGAGATGCTCAGTGAATGAGACACTTGCTGCACAAGCTTAAGGATCAAAGTTCTGACACCAAGAACATGCACAGAGCCAGAAACAGTGGTGCACATCTGTAATCGCTGTGTGTCTACAGTAGGATGGAGACAGATAGAAGTATCCCCAGAAGTGGTGTGCACATCTGTAATCCCGATGTGTCTACAATACGATGGGAGACAGTCAGGAGAATCCCCAGAAGTGGTGTGCACATCTGTAATCCCAATGTGTCCGCAGAAGATGGGAGACAGTCAGGAGAATCTGCCAACAAAATATACAAACCCTTATCAAAACTAACCAAAAGGCAGAGAGAGAACATCCAAATAAACAAAATCAGAAATGAAAAGGGGGACACAACAACAGACACGGAGGAAATACAGAGGATCATCAGGTCATGTTTTGAAAACCTGTACTCCCCAAAATTGGAAAACTCAACTTTTTGTTTTCTCTTATCTTTGATTTTGAGACAGGGCTTCTCTGTTTAACCCTGGCTGTCCTAAAACTCTCTCTACAGAATAGGCTGGCTCAAAAAAGCATAATAAAATAAAATGACAGCTTACAGAATGGAAAGAAATGTTTAAAAATCATTGATTTGTTAAGGCCTTAGAATCTAGAATATATAAAGAGCTTTCCAACTAAACAATAGTAACAACAGCAACAACAACAACAACAACAAAAAGGATCCAATTAAGAAGGGAAAAAATAGAAATACATGTTTTTTTTTTTCACAAAGACATATAAATTACCGGCAAACAAATGGAAAAAAATCTCAATACCATTAGAGATTAGAAAAATTAAACCCGCCAGGAGGTGGTGGCACACGCTTTTAATCCCAGCACTCAGGAGGCAGAAGCAAGCAAATCTCTGTGAGTTCGAGGCCAGCCTGGTCTACAAGAGCTAGTTCCAAGACAGGAACCCTGTCTCGAAAAAAAAAAAAAAATTAAACCCAAGGCAAGATGCCACTAAATATTTATTCTGATGGATACAATAATAATTTAAATCAAGCTATTAAAATTTAATTTTAATTAAATCTCACTAAACAGAAAATAACCTGTGTTGGTGAGGGTAAGGAAAAATTGGAACTCTCTTAAGTTTTTGATGAGAATGTTAAAGGATACCTCTTTCTGTAGGAAATGACTGGCCGTTCCTCAGAATCAGTTAAAGTCATCTTATGACCTAGCAGTTCCACTCATTGATAAATAATCAAAGGAAATAAAGATAAATATCCAATCAGAAACATACATGAATTTCATAACAATACTCTCGTTTTTTTAGGGATTTATTTATTATGTATACAGTATTCTGCCTGCATGTATACCTGCAGGCCAGAAGAGGGCACCAGATCTCATTGTAGATGATTGTGAGCCACCATGTGGTGGCTGGGAATTGAACTCAGGTCCTCTGGAAGAGCAGGCAATGCTCTTAACAATTGAGCCATCTCTCCAGCCCCATAGCAATACTCTTTATGATGACTAAACGTGGACATAGCCCAGTATCGAGATGTCCATGGATTGCTGGATAAACACAGTGTAATCTGTTAATATAACAGGTGATATCTGGCCATAAAAAGGAATGAAGCACTGATACGTGCTGTGACCATATGAAAAGTTAAAGACATCAGTCATACAGACTACAGATTACACAGACCACACACAAGTGCATCCACTTATATGAAATACCCAGGATAGACAAAACTATAGTAACAGCAAGTACACTACTGGTTGCTTAGGGCTGAGGGGATGCTTAAATAAGGGTGTGGTTGCTAGCATACAGCTTCTCACTGTGATGAGGCACATATCTGTAACTACACAAAAAACACTGAGTTGTGTACATGAAAAGCTGTCTTACAAAATACTCGCCACTATCTAATTCACCAAGTTTCTTTATGAAGAATATTCTTTTTTT